TCATCTGAGATGTGAGATGTGAGATGAGTCTAAATTTGTAATTGGAATTGCTTGTATTGTGAAAAACAGAAAATGCAACCAACTTTTATGAATGTAAGCAATAATAAAGGCAAAGGGTGGACACTATATACTCTATATATTGAAAAAATGATATTATATGTAGTTGTTGGGGCTTCTATGTGCTGTTCTTTTAAATATATGTTTTTGCTCTCTCTACTGATGCTGAAAAATTTGTAATTTGTACTCAATGGCTGTTACACAGTATTGAACACGTATTCAATTCTGGTAGTACTTAAAAAATACTAAAATACAAATTAGAGGTGGGCGATATGACAAAAATATAATATTGTGATACTTCAAGAAATGTTCATAATACACAATATGTCACAATATTTATTTTTTCAGTCATCTGATTAGAGTAAAAAGTACCATTAATTTCATTTCTCTCCAGTTGAACAGGACTATTTTTACTCTCTTTATGATGAAACATGCAGTTGGTCTGTGTTCTACAAGTATGGACGATATGTTCAGAAAGGCTTATTGTGTTGTATTGTGACGTAATTTATCACAGTAACAATATACGTTGCCATATTGCCCAGCCCTAGAACAAATCTTCCAAAAAAACAAAGTAATATACTGTAAAGAATGAAAAAATAAAGTTACAAGGTTTTGACATGACAGTGATGATACAAAGCTGGGAAGTTTTTTCTTTCCAGCTGAATAGAGTTGATGTAATGTGGAGGGATATGCAAACCACCACTTAATGAAAAGATCCTTTCTACGGAACAATGTGTGTACAGAAAGGTCTGTGTGTATGTGTGATAGACACAGAGAGAGCGACAGAATAAATAGAGTGAAAGAAGTAAACGGATAAAGCCTTTTATTTCTTATTCTCTGTGATTGGAGAATGATATACATCCCTAAACAACAACAGAGGATATCTGAATTCCTCAGTTGTTGGTCCAGGTCTTAAACAAAGCCTACCAGCATAGTATTGGGCCTTTTTGTGTCACAGCAAACGTAAAGAGTGTGAAATGTTTCTCATGGCCATTATGCCTCTATCAGTGTAGTAATATAAATGTTGCTCTATGAACTTTGATCACATTATGGGTTTGCCATTTATAACCCAAACACATTGGGTTACACCTTATTATTTTATTTTATATTTTGAATTTTATTCTGTGAATAACTACACATTTCTGTTGTGTGTATTGGCATGCCACATTGAATGTATGCTAAATAAATGCTAGTAAATTTAGATAAGGATTTATCTTTTGTGTTGCTGGAATTATATAGAATGTTAGCACACATCCATGCAGTCTCCCATGCACATCGTTAACAACATACCCAAATACCTTCTTATTGATACGGTGCCTGTGCCTCATTAGTGCTTTTATGTTTTTTAGAGTTGATGGATCAGTCCTGCCATATTATCATAATGCCAGATTAATAAATCCTAAATATGCTGTAACTGCATGTAAGATAAATCCATTTTCTCTTGTTTTTTGTTCTTATGGACGTCTTTTGGTTCGCTAGCAGATTTTGAGTGAGTGAAAGCAGATGAATGCTGCAGATGAAAACAACAGATTGCATAGATTAGGAGCACTGTTACTGTGATCACAGTCAACATGTGGGTTCATTTGTACCCTGTTAAAAGTGGAACATTGTTGCTCTCTGAGAAGACACTGTGCTTAAAGTGTAATTCTATTGATTTTCTGCAGAATTCAACCGTTGAGATGTAAACAAAGTAATTGAGAGTGGTTTAATGTGAAATGGTTTGTTGCAGAGAAATTTACCGATTTATTTACAGTGGTGTTGACAGAAAACAGGAGTCGAGATGTCAACAACACAAATGTAGCCCTTTTTTTAAACTATCCAAAATGACCAGTGAGCCTACAAACACCGATAATGCTAAAGTAATGGTAAATCAAAAAAAAAAAAGTTGAATGTTTTGCCTAAGAATGACCTGCATGTACTTCTCCACCCTGCATGTCTTTTAAGAACACATTTTAGGCCCAGACCTTTGCTTAAAACTATAATCAACCAGTTTCTCAGAGATCGTGGAGCAAATTTGTTACTATTTCATGTAATAACTTTCTGTAAGTTCGCTTTTAATGGCATTAAACTCTTCGGACATTTGATTCTTATGACCAGCATTGTGAACAACTCTTACTTGGTAAGGACAGAGCATTTTACACCAAACCACTCTGAATGACTTTTTAAATAACAATTTCTTAACCATTTCATCAATTCCATTTAATTATTTAAATATATGACAATTGAAAAAAGGTGGAATTCCCTTTCAATGCACACTATAGGGTCATTTACATTGCCTCTTTTTGCCCCCTAGTGGCCATTCTGCTGAGGGAATGAAAATTCATGTGGATACTTTGATTTAATATTAGCAAATAAACTATTTTCATTGTAACTCTGATATCAGATTAACTAGGTCACTGTTGGCTCTATGTTTGTGACTCTGTGTTGAGCTGCTAGTGACTACTAGTGATCAATGAGAGGTAAGAAAGAAAAGGGGTGAGAACCCCTTGCTGTGAAAATAATTCTCACCTCTCCACAAAAATGGCCAACAGACAGCACAACTGCTGCCCATCAGTGACTTACATAGCCATAGTCAATGTAATGTAACATAGCCTATTCTGTTCTACACTTTGATTTAACTGTGAACATATAAAGCTTAAATTTTACTTCTAAGTTTCCAATTACAGTATTAGAGTTTCAGCCTGAAGCATCTTAAATGATCTACTGCCATCAAGTGGAGTGTAATAGTATTACTAGCATGGCACTATGACCAAGCAATTAAATAAAAGTTGTCGAACTTTTTCACATTTTTAGGGTCAGTCATGTTTGAATATAGGGTGGATATAGTTTTCCTTGTTTATAGAGACACATATTTAGACACACATCTATAACAAAAAAATAAAATAAAATAAAAAAAATAAATAAAACCCATGAGTGCCATTAAAAGTTAAATCAGGGTGTTGTTTTAAAGGAACATTCCAATGTTAATTTTTACAACCCTGTTACCAAAAAAGTTGGGGCGCTGTGCAAAATGTAAATAAAAACAGAATACAGTGGTTTGAATCATCATCATTTACACCATATATTTAATTAAAAATAGTACACAGACAACATGTAAAATGTTAAAACTGAGAAAATGCATTGTTTTTTGAAAATATATATGCCCATTTTGAAATTGATGCCAGAAACACATTTCAAAAAAGTTGGGATGGGGGCAGGTTTACCACTGTGCTTCATCACCTCTTCTTTTAACAACACCCTGTCAGCATTTGGAACTGAGGAGATTAATTGCTGTAGTTTCAAATTCAAATGTTTTCCCATTCTTGCTTGATATAGGATTTCAGCTGCTCAAAAATTCAGGGTCTCCTTTATTATATTTTCCATTTCATAATATGCAAAATGTTTTAGTGGTGACAGGTCTGGACTGCAGGTAGGTCACTTTGTTCTTAGATAAAGCCTTTTCCACTGGGCTTGCTGTTGGCCCCTCCCTGATGGGCTGATTGACAGGTTGGGAAGTCCATGAAAGTGAAAATGCAATTTGGTCGTAGGGATTTTCAAAGGCTTTTTGACACAGAATGAGCGCAGTAGGCGAGAATATGTAAGTTATAACGTAAATAAAGCTTCTGGGTCATTCTACAGAAACGTCCACTTTTTTATCTCTCCATAGGTGTCACTGGTGTTACCAATCCTCATTGGTGTTACACATAAGAAAGGTAACACCAGTGACATTTTTAAAGAAAATTGCATTTTACAAAATGCATTTTACAAAATTTTTGTTATGCAGTAACACCAGTGACACGACTTCTACTTTGTTCAAGGGGACAACTACTTTCATCATATTTTTTATACTATTTATTTGGCATTTATTTTCTTTATGGCATTTAATTTATAAATTCCATAGTCATGTATAGATTATTGTAGTTAAAATTGCAGAAAAACGTGTTTTTTTCTTCAAAATATGGCGCTCAGCCTTTACACATGACTGTGAGGACGAGCACTTGTGGTGCTTGGAATTCTAGATAATTAATTTATAAACCAATATTGCTAAATTGATGGCTCAATAAGGTGTAATTGTTAAATTAACGTATTGTTTTATTTTAAAATATAAATAAATTGTAATCCTAACATGTTTTTCAAGTGTAATATATCTGTAAACGCTAGGGACACAAAAATGGACGTTTCTGTAGAATGACCCTTCTCATAAAGCATCCAAATCTTTGTGAAAATGAAATGCCAATCCTAGCGCCCCAAATGGCAAATTAAAATCGCAGTATTGAATTTGAATTTTCATTTTCAGCTCAATATTGCATATATAAGAGGGAAATTTCAATACAACACACAAATACATTGCTATTTTACATATTACATTTTTATTTTGATACTGATATGCTTCCATAACGGTCCTCGTCTGCTGAGATAACGTTAGTTGTTGACATCAAGGTCTCTCACAGGTTTGCGCAACATACGTGACTCAGTGAGGCTTTACGATGGCTACGACTTTTACAGCAGCTCACTGATCCAGAGAGAAGAGGCAGAACGCTATGTGACCTGTCAATTATCAGTGTTTTGCAACAGGCTTTCTAAAAAGAACACGAAACTAATTCGACGTAAACATTTAACTGAGTTCAGTTCAGAGACAGACACGTCCACATTCTTCAGCTGTCTGCCTACTGTTTACACGGGGCGGACCCAAGTCCTGAAAGGAAAACATCTCATTTGGGGACTTACTTTTTAACATTTGTGTACAAAATACTAACATGGATTTTAAACACAGAAAATAGTAGTTAGTTTCAGTTTAACGTTGAAACAGATTTTTTATAGTTTTATATTTGCCATTATAAAAACGCATGTGTTGTAAGCATCGTCCAGGACAGCTGGACCTTCCCGCACCACTTTTGAGGAATCCTATTGGCTATGCTGAACATAGCGACCCGCCCAATTGTAGTTTTCGAGTAATATTACAGGCTGGCCGCAACCATGACGATGCCGTAAGTCCTTTGCCATTGGTCGACGTCTATGTCACTAAGGTTGGGCCAAACAAGGTAGTGTGAAGCAGTGTCGGGATGGATGCAGGTAAGAAAACGCCGAGCAAAACAATTACTTTGCATTTTTCAAAGATTTAAATCACTGTTTTATCCCGTCTGTATTAAACCGCATATATTGTCAGGGGTCGCTAGGTTTTACGACTCTGTTGGAGTTGATGTCAACACTGGGTGTGGGGCATTTTATGTCATTTTTGCACTGTATCCGGATCCAACTGCTCATAGACTGGAGGCATCCAAACAGACAGATGTGGCGCTGGATGTGTTTTACTTGCGTTAATAATGCAGCGGCACCTACTGTCTACACTTTTAATCCAGATTTTAGGCTTAAACGCTGAACAATAAGAGATTTAGCCTCCCGCGACAAGTGTGGTATTGATAACACTAGCTATTACCTCTGAATAGCAGGGACCACGTCCTAAGTTTTCAAAGTCTACGTTGTGTTTTGTAATAAATCTGATATTCTCTAAATGAAGTCCCACGTATTGTCCGCCTTGACTTAGCATCAGAGAGAGATGCTTATATTTCTTTAACTGGAGGATATGGATTTGGTTCCTGTGTTCATCCAGACAGAGAGGGAGGAACACAGCACACATGTTGGTAGTGATGAATCATTTCACCCCCACACCAAATAACCTACAATAATATTGAGAAGAATAAAAATTATCCAGTGCTGCATGATACGGGTGGGTGATATAGCAAAAATATTATGACACTTGAAGACATTTTCACGATACGTGATATTTACTATGATTTTTTTCCTGAGGTTGATAAGTTGGAAAAGACCAAAAAAGTAATGTTGCATTTAAAAAATTACTATAAAAACTGAATACAGTGATTTTTATTCAACGTTTCACACATTGCACTGCATTATATCCAAGTAAACAGGCCAAAATGTGCTTATTTTGTAATGAAATATGCAGTTGGTTACTGTTATTTAAGTACTGACAATATCCACAACATGCTCATGAAAGCATGATGTAATTTATATCGATAATGATAAAATATCATCATATTGCCCTCTCATACCACATGGGATCACTGACTGACCTGACCTGTTCTTTAGAAAAGTTTTTCCTCTGAACATTTGGAATGTAGTAATTGAGTGACATTGTTTCCAAAAACACAGTGAAATACAGAAATTTCAGCATTACTGAAACATGAAAATACTGTAAAACTAAATGACTGTAAAATACTTTAGTACACAGCTATAATATAGATTTGCGATTCTAAGTTAGTGACCGGTCTCTGAGAAAGAGCCATTATGTTTGTTTGTGGTGCTCAGGCTCAGGAGGTCCATAAAATGTGTTTACAGGTGACAGGGCTGCTAACTTCTTGTAATGAGTCATATTTAATTACGCTGTTGTTGTTCATATGGCCAGTGGATTATTCTTTTCATTTTGTTTCAGCAACATAAAACCTTGCTAACTGTTTCTGCATTACCACAGTAGAGGCAGTTGGTCATATGAACAAGAAAGTCTGAGTCATTTATGTTGCAAAGCCCTTTGGGCCAGTTTCCCAGACCCAGATTAAAAGCCTAGACTGCAGGAGATTTTTAATAGCAAAAAACTGTTGAAACTGGCAGTTTTGTCCAAGACATGGTTTAATCCATGTCCACAAAAATTACCCTTTATATGTATATATTTTTCATGCATTATTTAGCTTGGCTGATAACACAGTAGGCCAGGATTATTTCCCAGTACTATGAAGTACTATCACCATTACCACTTTATATTGCTCTTTTATAGCCACTCTCACATACGACACGCTTCGCTTTGGGGAGTTTGAGGATTTCCCAGAGACGCCGGAGCCTGTCTGGATCCTGGGGAAACAGTTCAATGCACTAAAGGGTACGTTAATGAGGATTCTTTGGATTTGGAGTGGAATTGAAGTGAGAAAAGTATGTTTTTGAGATATTCTTTGTTTCACAGAGAAGGATGACATTTTGGCTGACATTACTTCACGGATGTGGTTCACCTACAGAAAGAACTTCCAGCCAATTGGTGAGAGTCACAAGTTTGTGCACATTAACCATAATGCAGCTGTTGGCTTAGTTGTTCTAATGGTATATGTATCTGATAGTGGAATTATTTTTGAAACAGTTTACGATCAAATTTACAACCCCCCAAAACTGAATGTCTAAATCAACACACTTGTTTTCAAACTTTGTTGTTAAATAATCTCAAATAGATTTACTTATGTGGTTTCTTATACTGACATAGCGTTAAGGTACCTATGCTGAAGCCTCAATTATGTTGAGTGCAAAACCAAAGAAGTGAACTTTGAACACCAAATTGGTCTTTGCTGATCTACTATATGTAGGGTGAGGGCAAAATTGTGTGCCAAAGTGTTGCTTAAAGCTGGCTTGCTGTTACAGGAGGGACAGGACCCACATCTGACACTGGCTGGGGTTGTATGCTGCGATGTGGGCAGATGATCCTTGCAGAGGCCTTGATCCGTAGACACTTAGGCCGAGGTATGTCTGTCTTTCACAGCAGTGCTTTGGTGTTTTTTTTAGCATTTGATACATATTATTTCCCATTTTTGCTTTTCATATCTCACTTTTGCTCTCAAGTAATGTCTAACATGTTTTTTGTCAGACTGGAGATGGGTAAGAGGTCAGCGCCAGAGAGAGGAGTACATCAGCATCCTCAATGCCTACATAGACAAGAAGGACAGCTACTATTCCATCCACCAGATAGGTAAAATGCAGTCCTGTGCTTGAGTGACTTGTTGTCTAATTATCTATAGTGCTCCAGCAGTGCTTTATTCACAGATCAGATATATTGATTGAGGTGCTTACAGTTTCTTGCCTCTTATTCCTTCAGCTCAGATGGGGGTGGGAGAAGGCAAGTCCATAGGCCAGTGGTATGGCCCTAATACAGTGGCACAGGTACTCAAGTAAGTTGCATAGCCTCTGTGGATGTGTTTTCAATGATCATGTCATAGAAAAGAGGGCCAAAGTGATATCGTCTCAGTCCGTTTCAGGACATGTGTGTCTTGAGACTAATTAGACTACTGTCTGCCTTTATTTTCTTCTTGTTTTTATTGTCTTTGTGTATGCGGTTCAACTAGTGGAGAACCCTCAGGGCCTTCTAGGCCTAGCGAAGGGTCATTGATTTATGTTAAAAAAAAAAAAACAAACTTTGTTATAATCATTCTTAATGTATTTGACTTATGCAAATATTATAGTGCGACTCTTAGTTTATTGTTAAGTTTTCATTGGAAACAAAAGAGTTATATTTTTAAAAAGGCTGAAAGAAAATTGTCCGATCAGAACATTTTTTGTACTATGCAATATCTGTTTAGATACAGCCAAGCTACCTCTGCCACAGGTAAGGCCTTGAGTTGAACTGAAAGTCCAACATGGCTGATTAACTAGATTAAATATCAAAATTTAACTGACAATAAAATCGACCAATCACGTTTGGATTTTCAGTGTGTAGTGCCAAAGTTGTGAAGAGTCCTAGATATGTTACTGTTCATTTACCTTGATTGGACCGGGTTTTGACATTTATGGCCCAGTTGTCAAGGTTTGCCACTGGGCTACTGTGCTGACCATGATGGTTTCACCTCCCATAGGAAACTGGCAGTGTTTGACAAATGGAGCCGACTGGCAGTTCACGTGGCAATGGACAATACTGTGGTCATCGAGGAAATCAGTGAGTAGGCGCTGATACAGTTTGAATGCATCACAAACATTAATGTACACTGTATGTCTGAATGTATTCAGACGCTCCTTCTAATTAAAGAATTGCGCTATTTGAGACACGCCCATTATTGACACAGGTGTTACATTGCATACACACGGCTATGTAATCTCCAAGACAAGTATTGCCAGTAGAATGGGATGTTCTGGAGGAGACACACCCACAAGATCACCATGCACAGCTACAGGTGTAAGGCTTCTTACCACTGGACTATGGAGCAGTGGAAAAGTGTTCTCTGAAGTTACAGAGCACCATTGAACATCTTTGTGATCCATTGGAGCTCCATTTGTGAACCAGGCCTGATCAGCTAACCTCACTACATGACTTGAGTAACGTTCTTGAGGCCGAATGGACCAGCAACATTCCAACTAGTGGAAGGCCTTTCCACTGAGTAAAGGCAAAAGGGAGATAATTTCTGTTAACACCCTTGTTTTCAGCAGAATTGTTGAAAGAGCAATTGTCTGAATACCATTGGACTCATGGCATCTCTAAAACACATCTAAAACCATAAGTATTGGAATAGAATGGTGAGTCTAACTGCCTGTTTCATTGCTGGTTTAAACAAGCCCTCGTCCTTTTGGCCTCACCATTTCCCCTCTCAAGAGAATCCCTGATGCCATCTTATGGGCTATTCAATTACTGTGTTCGCTCAAGTGAAGTTTATTAGAGGGGCAAGGAATTGAGTGAACATAAGTGTTAACTTCAGCTGCAGAATCATGGTGACCAGACACATTCTCCTTTTCAAACCTGATAAAATGGCAGACAAGGCTGTTTATAAGCCATTACAGTACACTACTTAATTTTTGTAAACCATACCATTTGATTTGCTATGTTCAGACCATGCTTTAGGTAGCAAAATATTCCATTTTATACATCATGTTTATACAACTTCATCACTTTACTCCGTAGTTTGCTAGTTAGCAAGCTAAAGGATGGACAGCTGGCAACAACACAATAAGGCAGTACACTATGGTTTTACACCAAAGCTTATAACAAAACCAAGCGGTTATTCACTAAATTCACATATGTTCAAAAAACATAGTGACAAAGTTTGCATAGCTCGCTGATTAGCACACTGAAACAAACCTAGCTGAGGGCGAGGGTGCTCTGATTGAAAAGTCTGCTCTTCACTGTCCCCTCCTGGCTGCTTAAAAAAGCTATTGAAACAACCTACGTAGACCCATCCATGACAGAATGATTAAGTCTTTTCATAGCTGTGTCTGTTGGCTCCCTCAGAGAGGTTGTGTATGCCATGGTTGGACTTTGAGAGGGGTGCATGTGCAGAGCCGGAGGGACCCCTGGAGATAAATGGGTGTCTGGAGGGGGCTTGTGCACTGGCCGAGGAGGCTCTCTGGAAACCACTAGTTCTGCTAATCCCCCTGCGACTAGGCCTCAGCGACATCAACGAGGCCTACATAGAAACTCTAAAGGTGAATTCAAGTAATGGATAGGCACCAACACAAAAGACCACAATGGGATTAGTACACATTTACATTTCATTTGCATATTTTCATTCTGAACAAAAATGATTGTACAGAGATTGAAATCTCATTATTTTTTTTTCCCTTAAATTTCTGCAGTTTCCTGTGTGATAGTTCATGTATGCTTAGGTATATTTACTGGGCCGGCAAACCTGCAACTTTCTTTCAGGATTAAGAACATTTCTCTGTATCTTTCTTGGCCCCAGCAATGCTTCATGATGCCTCAGTCTTTAGGAGTAATCGGTGGGAAGCCTAACAGCGCACACTACTTTATAGGCTTTGTTGGTAAGTACTGGTTTATCAGAGCTTTAGGCCTCTGAAGTTGTGCATCTTTCTGTACTTAGAAACTCAGTCTATGTGCTGGATTTCTTGATGACAGAAATGAATAGGATTTACTAGAATCTCCTCTATCCCACCTTGTAGTACACAAGAACGTTCCAGATCCACATGTTTCTTGTCCTACATATATTTTCCACTGAATCTTCTGAATTATGAAGTCAGTAAGGAGTCATAATATGAATTTTGTCACATGGCATTTTATTTACCAATTGGCACAGTAGCTTCACTGTGTCCATATGTGCATGGTACAATCTACAGAATGATGACACAACTTCAGTGCTCTATTCAGATCAACAATGTATTGGGCAAGTGGATTTTGAAGACATACAGTGCTTACCATTTGAAGTCTGCTTTATGGCTGTTCCTCACTCATGCTGCACCCTGCAGGTGAGGAGCTGATCTACCTGGACCCCCACACGACTCAGCCGGCTGTAGAGCCGTGTGAAAGTGGCCAGATTCAGGATGACTCTTATCATTGTCAGCACCCACCCTGCCGCATGCACATTTGTGAGCTCGACCCATCCATAGCTGCTGTAAGTAGCACTAAACTCAAGCAGTCTGATTTTCTGTTATGGGGCTATAGTGTAGATGTGGTCATATCACAGTTCTCCCTGAACTGTAGTTGATCAGCCAAGATGTTTGGTGTCATACGTTGACTGTATGGCACTGTTATCTATTAAAAATGGGGAAAAGTATGTTGAGTAGATACAGTAGTAACAGCCAAATTTAAACATAAAATTAAGTTTTCAGCCTGGACTGCTTTTTGAAAGAGGCACAATATACAGCAGTCAAATATAACAAGAGGTAATTTACATATAAAGGGGATAGTTACAAAACTAGTTTAATTCTAAGGGGCAAGAACAGTTTGGAAAATGGTCACATAAAAATGAATTATGATCATAAGTAGGTCTTAAGGAAAAAATATTAAAAGTCAAAAAATGTACAATATGCCAGTATTTGTCATCATCTTAGGTCCTGTTTGAACAGGACAGGGTAGATAACCACAGCAGTCATCAAGCCACATTACCTTAAGATTGATCTCTTCTTTCAGGGTTTTTTCTGCCAAACAGAGGACGACTTTGATGACTGGTGTGCGCATATTCGAAAAGTGAGTTTACATTCTATGGCTGGTTTTTTTGGCTGTGTAGATGATCTCTTATCAGGCTCACTGTTATTCATACTTTTATTTTGCAGTTATCAACCTGTAGAGGTGGTCTTCCCATGTTTGAGCTGGTAGACAGTCAGCCATCCCATCTAATCAACACTGAAGTCCTTAATCTCACGCCAGGTAACATATTTCAGAGTATTCCTTTATATTAATTCACTATGGGATGGTTTCTTAGACCTGGATTAAACACCTTTTTTGCATTGAATTGCAGTGCCAATGCCAATACCCTTTGCCATTAAAAAAAGTCCTATTTAGCCATCATCTGGGGAACCAAGCCTATACATTTTATTCTAAATTATACATTCCCAGATTTTAGGTATGAAATATTTTATCCAACACTTGTGAATCGCTTCACAGATTTCTCTGACTCAGACCGACTCGAGCGTTTTTTTGACTCTGAAGACGAAGAATTTGAGATCCTGTCTTTGTGAGGATGAGGAAGAGAGTGATTGTTCAACTGACAGCTCAGTGCTAGACTCCCCTCAGTGGAGGTAAAGGAGTCCGAGAGGAGTAGTACCACTGACACGAGGCCTGCCTGGCATTTGGTGGCATAGTCGCCTGCGTCAAACACAGCTTTCCGCTCTACAGCTATACTGACTGCTCTCTGCATCATCCTGAGTAAACCCTGAGGTCAGAGGTTATCGTCACAGACTCTCAGGATTACCTCAGTATGTGCATTTTCACATTAATGTGTATCCATTTTGAGTCTTAACACTTTTGTTATTTTCAAGTGATATGGTGCCTTTTACCCTCCAACCCTAATGCAGATTTGCCATAACTCACTTTTGGTGGTCGTCTGGAGCATGGCTGATCAATTTTGATTTAGAGTGCGCTCTTGACCAATACTGCTAATATTTGACGTCTGTAGCAACTTGTGAACTGAAGCCAAGATGGAAGGGTTACAGACCAAGTAGGTTAGCTTGTGTATTACAGTATGTTTATTCTCCATGTTTAAAATATCTGTACACAGGTTTATTTTAAGATTATTTATTTACTCAACTGTACATTTTAAAATAAAAACAAAGGAATACAAAAAATACAATAAGAGCCATCTTACCCTTCTTGTATGTACAGTTTCATTTTCAAAATTGTTATTAATGTATGACTGATTGTGGTCTTTAGCCCTAAACCCATTTCCAGAGTTCTCCAATAGGTTGATTCTCAGCAGCGTTGATGGCATTCTCACTCAATATTTTAATCTCTGTGTGTACTTCCTCTATGCTTCTAGCAGCATCAACCACCTATAAAAGGTAAACAGAATCAGTAAAAGTTAATTTATCAGTCTCAAAGAACAAGGATCACACGTTCTTGGATAGTCATCATGAGCATAGTCAAATAACAACACATAATACAGAATGATTCTGTTATTCACCTTCCAGTTGACTAAAGGATCTTTTTCTTTGAGCTGCTCAAACTTCTCTTGTACTGCACGCTGGAAAGCAGTACTCTCGTATCGCTCAGCTCCAAACTCTCCCCGGTTAGCTGCCACAGTGGGGCTCAGCTGCAGGTACATCACCAGGTCCGGCTTCGGCAAGCCCACGTCCGGATGCATACACCAGTCCAGAGAGAAGCCCTGAACAATGCAAACACACTTCCATACATGCTTCCGCCCTTCCCAAATAAATACAAACTCAAAACGAGCTGTGGCTTTTGGCACTCACGGGTTTGGCGCTGGTGAAAGCTACTCCAGAGAAAGCATAGCGATCCACCACTAGATTGATTCCCTGCTCCAGCTTTTGCTTCATTAAAGGCCTAAAGGGGGTAGACAGAAGACAGGACACTAAAATTGTTATAATAATAATTTATTATTATTATTATTATTATTATTATTATTAGTAGTAGTAGTAGTAGTAGTACTGCTACTACCACTACTATTGTAAATACAATAACAAAAACAAAGTAAAAAGGTAATAGAAAAAAATAGTAGTTATAAGAAATAAAACAGCAAGAATAAAAATAATCATAATAATGAAAAGTCACATCAAAGGCAACAGAAGTAGTTATAAAAAGTTAATGACAGGAGTCATGAAAGTTTGTAAAAATGTGTTTTTAGCTGCTTCTTAAAATCATGTCTTCATGTTGCCTGACTCAGCAAATCGTTTTATTTTTAGTGTATTAAAAAGCTGCTTCACAACATCAGTTCTTGTTAACTTTGGAACATTAAGCAGACCTGCAGTTCGAGATCTCAGAGACCGATTTGGATCATATGGAGCCAAAAATATACTTAATTGAAAGGCAAATTTAAACGCCTAAGTATATGAAAGTAAAAAGTATTTTAATGTGTTTTAACAGACAGAGTTAAGAGTCAGGACTTTTTTTAAACATAAAATAACTTCAGCATTAGCTAATCATTCTGGCAAGCCCACACCAGCAAGTCTGACTAACAGGCATTACCGAAACCTCCATAAAGACAAATTAGCATAGTTGTGACAGTTTTATTTTACATGAATGTGAATTTAATTGCATGCTTAAAAACTGAATGCATGAGACTGTGAGTAATTTGTAAGAGAAAAAAATCTTGGCCTGTGAGATTTATAACAGGCACTTTGAAGGTCTAAATAAAAATGTAAGGAGTAATAAGAAGTTCTTGGAAATGGAACACAAGAGAGCAAGTATTCAGTTTCCGTAATACATAACTAATGTACTGATCTACCAAAATAACTCTTAAATACAATAAGTGCCATCACACTGATTTATTTGCTCTGGTAACACGCAAGTATTTTCCTCTCCTGCTGAAAAAAAAGACTGGAAGCCACTGGAGTGATTTGTTCTCCTGTGTGCTGCAGTTAATACCCTGACACATAATGGTTAAACAGAAGGAAGAGGGACTTACACCAGCTCCCATCGGTTTGCAGAAAAGAGCAGATGTACAGTGTGGTCCTCCAGGTTGCTCTTTTTCTCAAGGTATGAACTGATAAGCTGCCCAATCTTTGTTGTCCTGTCTGAGCGCAGCAAAGAAGACGAAACAACAATACATACAATAATAATTGTATTTATAATTCACTTTTCATTTTGGTAAAAATCTCAAGGTGCTATAAGGGTAAACCCAATTCAGTGATAAAAGCATTTACAAATGCCATGAAATGAAAGCAAATAACCACTGAGACATTTAATAAAAGGCACTTCTAAATAAAAATGTCTATATGCCAGTTTACACTCAAACTGAGTTCAGTCAGGTCTGAGGAGTAAAATCAGCAGCTTGTGCATATTCCTGTTTTTTTGATGCAATTATTTAGCTAATAACTTAAATTTGGGTGGAGGATCATGACTAAAGCCCCTCCTTCTTTCAGTCCAACACCTCTACTAAAAAATCCCCATCTCTACATTCCGACTCCGTGTCCAAGTTTTCACAATCTGCACCACAGCCGCTCTTCACTTCCCTATTCCTCAGTCCGGACTCGCAAAGTATCCCAGTGTTATAATGTTTACCTTTTAACAGTATTTGCCCCAATGTGTGATACATTCATACCCATATGAATGCTGTCAAAAGACATAATACTATGACAACATTTTCATTTGGGCATTTGTAATTTTTAGCATGTAAGTTAGAGACAAAGCGAAAACTCAAATACATGACAGAACCATGAACTCCAGAGGTTTAGCTAGCCAGGGAGAAATAAAAGGGACTTTTAAAGCCATGCACTTTGATCTTTTTTACCGGGAAACCTGATCAGTTCAGCCTGGCGGCCGCTCTTCTCCAGCGCCTGCACGAGCCTCTTACACTGCGTGGTTTTACCGGCTCTGTCCACTCCCTCCAGCACGATTAACGCACCTCTTCTGCAAGTCATGACTCTTTTTTAAAAGTCAAATAAACCCGAACTTTATGTTCCACCACTCGGAATCCGGCCTCAGCCCCCAGCAGCAGCGGTTACGCGCCTTTTTATTTTACCTTTTTGTCAACAACGACCATACAGTCTTCCGCGTCGTTTTTTTTTTATAAATTTCAAATTAAGAGTCCACAGTGTTCTATGTTGAACAGTCCCACGTGGCCGGATTCCTGCACAGTTTGGTGATTTTTTTTTATTGTAGGATTTATACAACAACATAACTTACAACAACCACCAGCCATTAAATACACATTAAATAAATCATAGTTAATATATGATTCCAAAGTCCTTTTTGCTTTCTTGTTTTTTTTTTTTTTATATATTTTTAAAGAAGTGCCATGCTCATGCAGGAAATGTGTAAAGTTTGGCTTATAATCAGACCACCTCTTCTTATGTTAATGATATTTGCCCATAATAATTAAGTATTGTACAAAAAGAAATACTTTAACATCTAATCTGTCAATTAAAAAAAAAAAACAATAACATCTGAAACATCTAATGTAATACAGTGTCCATTCTTTCTTTTCAGATGGATAATTTTCTTTTTTTTTTAAACATTTTTAAAAGTCACTTCCTTTATTTTATTATTCATACAATATTTATCACAAATTGTCCATGCTTTATTCCAATTTATGTTCCCTAATACAGAAGACCAATATGGTTATTTATGAATTCTTTCATTAGATATGACTTTCCTGATTAATTTGTTTGTACATTTATAAGAATATTAGTTCCCCCAATAAATCAACCATTCACTTTGACATCTGAAGTCTGAATTTATATTCTTAAAAAAATGTGATATCTGATATGTGAACTCCACGAGAGCTAGTAGCAAACATGGGGTGCTGCCAGTAAAACTGTCCGGCTTTACATACAGTCAGAGTGCATGTGAGTTTATTTTTGTTTGTTTGTTTGTTTGTTTTTATTATTCTTTATACAGTCATCTCCAGGGGTAAATGTACAGCTCCAATTACATCTTGAAGGAATTCAACAAAATAAAATTAATTAATTTTTTTTCTGTTTGTAATAAGGAATCATAAAAAATTTCTGGTCATTGCAGAATAGCCTATAACTGATGCCATGTTTCTGGATTTGTGTATATGAAATTTGCCCAATGACTTTATCTATTCTACTTGAGTTAGTATAACAGTTTAGGAACAAGACTGTTCCCTTATCTCATCTATAAACTTGTGTAAGGACATGAATACCATTAAGTAAATTTCCTTCCAAAATTCCTTTGAGAAAGTGCAGATACAAAATAAGTGAGTGATAATTTCCAAAGCTGATTGGCAAAAAGAATATTGTAGTGAAATATCAATTGTAAAGTTAGTAAGCAGGAAATCACAAGGGTAAAAAAATGTGCATTCATTTAAATGAATTTCTTTTACTTTGTTCGGGAGCAGAAATTTACTGATGTCCTGCCACAATACTTCTGTTGAAAATGAGGGAATTTTTTTTTTTCATTTTTAGATTTGTAAGGGGGAGCAGCTATAGTTATTTGTTATACATGTCCATGGATAGGTTTAGTAACTACTGCCTGACCAACATGGTGGAGAGGAAGATATGGAGATGCGAGTAAAATGCGTTTGTTTGTCATCTTGTTATTGAGCTGGAATATGCTTAATCTAAATTCCCATACTGTAGATAAGCAGATTATCTCATCAAAAATGCCCACATATATATATATATATATATATATATATATATATATATATATATATATATATATATATATGTATATATACCATCTTTAAGAGAAACTTCTTTGTTTATTTACTTTATTTTATGATCAGCACAGGGCTTGTAAAGATGTATGAAGAACTCTAGGCTGTAACATTTAAATGCATAGTTTTTATTTGTTTTTGGTAAAAAATATATTTCATGCTGCCCTGTGATGGACTGGCAACCAGTCCAGGGTGTATCCGCCCAATAACCGCTGGGATAGGTTCCAGCTCCCCCCGTGACCCAGAAGAATAAGCGGCTTAGAAAATGTGTGTGTGTATATTTCATGCTATTCAGTAATTCTGTACTAAAATAGTGGCGCTGTCACACTTTACTCTTGTGGCAGTGTTTCAGTGCAACAGTGAGAGCCTGTAAGATCATGTCCACATGAGCCTTAGTGCTGTTACAGCCCATGAGCCCCACACGCAGGACCTACCAACAACAGCACAGATCAATCACTCACGTGCATATATTAAACATCATTAATGAATAAGCAGAATGTTATGTACACAGACAACAGAGGTCCCTTAGTTTTACTTCTTTAAGTAATAAATGAAAGACAACTGACTCCCCTACCATGCCAACAGAGGGCCCAAGGCCTCCAGAGATTTCTATGTTGTGATTCTTCATAATGTAGCCTGTGATCTCTCTCCACTCGTACCCTGGTGGAGCTACTATTGTAGTCACAGTGGGCAATCTCGCTTTCTGTCAGACAAGACAACAAATCTTTAAAATAAACTATTCTGTAGATTTGCCAGCAGATTGCCTTTGATTAAGCAGGCATAACATAAACACTGTTCAAGCTCTAATTGTAATATTCTACAGAATACTACCTTGTCTTCCACAAAGAGCTTCAGGCCCATCTTCTCTAGACCCATGTGGAAGTACTCTGCCACCTCTTTGTGTTGTTTCCAAGAGTTTTCAAGGCCCTAAAAAGACACAAGAAATGTACTACATTCAATTATTAGATAGATAGATAGATAGATAGATAGATAGATAGATAGATAGATAGATAGATAGATAGAATTCTCACTGTTTCTGCAAGAATGGCAAGACCTTCTCTCAGGCTGTATAATCCAGTGACAGGACCAGTGTGGTGATAACTATAGAAAGAAGATCACTGATTTGTGATTTGAGCATAATAGTGCAGAATTTAGAAGAACTCTTGTGCAAGGTCTTAGCAACTGGTATCATGTTATTCTCCTGCATTTTTGCTCATTCTGTAACTCCCAGGACTTCACCTACTATGACCCTTTGGTAACGCAAATTAATGTTTACTCACGAACGCACAGGCTTTCCATCACAGCCCCAGTAATTGGCCAGCCAGCTCAGATCCAGAAAATAAGAAACAGGCTTTGTCTTTCTGTTGAAGATTTTGTAGCTGTTTTGTTCAAGAGAGGTACAGAGATAAATCACTTTCAGCTGAGTTTGATCTGTATGTTCAGCCTTATTCTGATGTTGTCTCTCTCATTCTTTCTCACCATGCTCTCTCGCTGAAGGAGATGGGTGCAGTTCCTGGAGGAGCATTCAGGACCTTCTGCGAGCCAGTGTACAAAATGTCAATACCTGCAAAATAATTTTACGCTGAACTTGCTTTAAGGAATATCTTGTATGCAATGTTTAATACTTTGCTTTACCATAATGCTGCTGTCATATCAAAACCTATCAAAATCTAACAATTTTGGACCATTTGAAAACATCGTCTGCCTATTAAAGTGTGTGAACATTTTATAACGAATGGACTAATAGTAATGGTCCAAGTAAGTTACCATTTCTGAGGTGTGACGTTTTGTTATGCAAGCACCAATATACAGTGGTCCAAAAAGTATAAATGTTAATGAAGTTCTTTAGTTTACTTCATAAAATGTTCAACAATATGATATTTCGGAGAAGAACACTTTTAACACAACATCAGACTGATGGTTAGACTCTTTGTGTGGAGAAAACCTGGAGAAGAATTCCAACCAGACTGCACTAAGGGTACCATAAAGCATTGAGGTGGAAACATCAAAGTCTGGGGCTGTTTTTCTTACAGTGGTGTCAGTCAGCTTGTGTTCACTGGTGGGATTGTGAACTAAGAAGTCTACAAAGGCATTTTGGATGCAAATCTGCAGAAATCTGCAAAGAAACTGCTCAAACAATAAATAAATGCCACTTGTTTTGATATTTTGTTTCAAACACTATGAAATTAATACATTTTGGCACGGCACAAATGCCCAAACTCATTTTGGGCCACTGTACATGGAAGCACCTCCATAGTCTAAAGTTACAAAAGGTACATCAGTGTAGCCTTTAGATATATTAGTACCTTGCTTATCCATGTAGATGGGGGCACCTCCCAAAGCTGCGACAGAATCAACCAGGAACAAACAGTCGTACCTTACAGCCAATCACATCAATTTAGCAAACAGTTCATTACACAAACCACTACTGATGAAGTGGACAGTACAGCAGATGACAGTGAGAAATAAAATGAGTTGCAGCAGAAGAAATATAAGTCATAAGGGAGGCCATAAAGGAGAAGTGAAGACTAATTGAGGGTTTAAAGGAAGGGCACATATGTGCCAGTATGGTGAGTTGTGTTTTCATGCTATAGAGAATATAGAGTTGAGTTCTCACTTGTGACAGAGTTCTCCAATGCCATCTATAGGGTGCAGAACTCCTGTAGAAGACTCTCCATGTGTGAGGAAGAACAGAACTGGCTTATATTTGGCCAAGGCCTAGAATATAATGACAGTAGGGTTATCTTAGTAAAGTAAATCTAAAGTGTACAATTAACAGAAAAAAATGCATAAATTGTAATTAGAGTTAAAGCATAAACTGCATCAAAAACTGAAAAATAGAAAATGCTAAAATAGAAACAGAATAGAAATTATTACTGAAAAAGCACTGGGCAAAGTGTTCATTCACTACCAATGCATAACTGGTATATTTCACCCTTGATGAGAAAAAAATCATCAAGGCCATGTGCATACTGAACCCAAATCAAAACTAAAGGTCATAAATAAAAAAAAAAGTCATATATAATGTTTTATATATACTGTCTATATACTGTCTACATTGTTTTATATTTACTGCACTGCAGGCATGAATTCTGAAAGTATTTAAAGATGTGGGGTTTTTACATGGTGTCCAGTCCACTGCTGTGGGATTACCTGCTCAATCTCATCATTTGTGAAGTAGCTGCCAGCAGATGTTACAATGGTGTTTACTTTGGCACCTGTTACATATCAGGAATGTATACAGTGAGTATGAGTTAGAAATCACTTAGCATTCACAAACTTTGTAGTGCTTCACGGGTCAGTACCGATTCTCTCTGTCATCTCTGCAGCTCTTTCGCCCCAGATGCCATGGACTGCAATCAGCACGCTCTCTCCAGGCTCCACAGAGTTAAAGATGGCACACTCCATGGCAGCATGTCCTGGGCCGCTCACAGCCAGCGTCATACGGTTCTGCGTTTGAAATGCATACTGGATCCCACTCTTGATGTGATCCATAATCTAAATAAGAAAACATACAGCACAAATGAAGTAAACTCAATTTATAGAAAACGTACCACGCTGACACAGTTATAGTTGTATGCAAAAGTCTGAACACCCCTGAACAAATTATATGTTTTGTTGATTTTCTAGGTGAAATAACATGCCCCCTACAGAGAACACTCATACTTCAATATGGCATTTCTGCTAAGTTTAGCACATAATTTAACATATTGGAACATAAAAACATAACATGTGCCTTAACATTTATGTTTTATTTTGGACCCCAATATGGTAAATTCAACAAAAAAACAGTAATTGTACCTTATAATGCATGTAAAATGTAATTTGACCAGATGTGCCAAAACTTTTGTATATGGTTGTGTGTTAACCCCTTAACCTGAGGGTCTGTATGTGGGCCCACAGTGCATAATTATGTAACTTACAGATTAGTATCACAGTAGTTGCTAAATATTCATAGTGATTACTGAACATTCATAGTGCTAACTGAATAATTCATACAATGTAAAAAAATTTAGGCAACTTTTAAATAAAATAAGTACGTAAACCTGGTTGATTTAAAATGTTTGGTTCAATGAACTGAAGTCGCATCTTTTTTTTGTTTGTTTTATGTTGTAATAAGTCTTAAGATGAACAAGTGAGTAGGCCTAAGAGTTAAGGGGTTAAATATTCTGTAATAGTTTAAGATACTGAAAATTGTACTTTGGTAACACATGTTCCGGTATCCTAAGATGACACAGCATAATGCTCATCCATGGTTACAGCTTACGGTCATACACAGTTATTTTTAAACCACATCTGACTCACTGATTTTGTTGTGAGACTTTACCTCAATCGTCTCTGCATGCAGGTGGCCTAACATGTGTTGTGCCCCAGCCGTTGAGATTCGTGGAGGTACATTTGAAGGTCCTGGTCCAAACAGGTAGCGATGTGGGACTGTGAAAGGCTGTAGAAGACATTGTGGTGGTGGAACAGAGAGAGACGACATGCCGGTGCTAAATGTGTGACCCTGTTAGCAAAAAAAGCAAACTGTAGCCTCAGACTTTGTCAATCAGGCCAGTCCTCCTGCCTCTGTAACCTCTCCTCCTCAGGCAGGCCTGTGGAAAATGAACTTCTATATGCCAAAAAAATGTTTAAGCTTCAAATGAAAAAAGTGTTTAAATTGTGGAATGCATGAGCAATTCAGCTTTCAAAGATGGATTAATTTGAAAAGAAAAACACAAAGGGACAGTAACTTGTAACCTGAAGACTTCAGAAGAGTTACTTTTTCCAGCTACAGTCCTTTAAACTGTGGTGTGTAGATTTTTTAGTGTTAATCATTGACTTATTCTCCCTTTGACACAAACACAACCTCAGCAAATAGTTAAACAGGGCAAGGGACTCTAAGGCTGAATCTCAAATTGTTCCCTATTCCCTATAAAGTGCACTGCTTAGGTCATGAAACTATGCTCAGTCTTCCTGCCTCTGTAACCTCTCCTCCTGTCAGACAGGCCTAGTGGAAAACAAACTCCCATATGCCAAAGGAAACGTTTAAGCTTAAGTTTAAATTAAAAAAAGCAGTTAAGTTGCGGAATGCATGAGCACTTCGGCGTTCATGTAGTGCTCTAAATGTTAGATAGAGTCGTGCAGCTAATGGATGAACAAAAATGGCTTTCTACGTAGGGAATAGGGAGCCATTTGAGATTCAACCTAAGTGTGAAACTAAATGGACTTTTTTTGATGCCAAAGCTGAAATGCAGTCACTACAGTGGAAAAACATGAAATGCTTTCAATTGCAGCATGCAGAACATATGTGAAAATGAAATGCAAAACCCCTTTTACATTGTCTTCATGTCGTTTGACCTAAATACTGATTTCATATCAGAAGTGAATAAAATCCACCTTGAAATGTATGCAGGAGGGGGCATGTTCAACAGTTACATGCAGGACGTAGAGCCAGTCACGTTGAAGCAGCAAGCCGAGTAGCTGATGATGTTCACCTGTGTGTTGTTTCTGCCTATTTATAGCCATGTCTTTTCTCAGTAGGCGGGTGGAAACCACAGGAGAAGGAGTCCAGGAGAGACGCAGAGGAGCTCAGCATAATGAAAGTCTGAAACATCACATATGAGGCAGTTTTTATTTAGTTACACAAGCTGAAAAGCTTAAGTGTTTGTGTTTGTGAGTAAAAAGAAAGCTCCTTGTCTCCATATCCTGCTCTCAGTGTCCTCGCTTTTTTCAGGGTATAAGAAAGGTTACCACAAAATGTGATCAAGGCACAGCTATATTGCCTCCCGCCATTCATACTTCAAACTTATTGAAATGTCATGATAACAGTGACATGTAGAAAATGTGCCAAAAAAGTAAAGTATCCATTACTTTGATCTAACACTGTTTTAAGTACTTCATGGTGGAAAGCCATACTTACATTGATTACATTTCAAGGTAGATTGCATTCAGGTCTGACCCAAGTTCAGCAGTTCTTTTTTAAATGTGTATAATGTTTTCCAAAAAAAAAATCAAGTGGCATGAAAACAATGCATTGGTGTTTTTGCTTTTCATTTTGGCATGTACTCTGCATGTCACTACTGAAATGTCATGTGATCTATGTGTTTCATATTTTTTGACTGTAGTGATTGTATTTCAGTTTGGTACAAATTCCTCTCTGTTGGGATGATGGTGGGAAAGAAAAATGATTATTTATTATTTATAAATAAACTGTATTTATTTACATCAAGGCAAGATTCACATTCTGCTTTATGATAATCATGTTTTACTGAGCAGAAGGATCTAGTCTTTAATATCTCTTGTAGGCCTAAATTTGGTTATTTACCTCTGCTCTGATGTGGTCCCCATTGTATTTGCATTTTGTTAACAAATGAACTGTAGCTGCAAAATATGCACTCACTAGCCACTCTTTTAGGTACACTTACCATGCATCTGCCATTTTATCCATTTTACTACTTAACATATAAGTGTACTTTGTAGTTCTACGATTACAGATTAGGCATCAGGTAATGTATGTTTTTCTATTTCATGCAAAAACGTTCTGTGAGGTAGCTTCGATGCGTCAGACGTCCGGTTCCCATCACTACCACCACGAACAATTTTTTACATAGAGACAATTTAGGCATTTTACATTATACCACTCTTAATGACTGTTTACATCTCAATCATTTAATTATACAGAACATTTTAAAAATTGGTGAAATTCCCCTTCAACATGTTATATTTTATTGACAGAAAACAAGGTAAAAAATACATATATTTAGGTTTTGTAATGTCAGCTTTTATTGCAGTATATAATGTACGCATGGAAACTAAGTATAATTAACATTCCTGGTTGATCACAGTGACAACTATCTTATCATACACTATATGGCCAAGAGTACTATATGGCCCTACTGCTAACAGGTGTATAAAATCATGCACATAGCCATGCAACCTCCATAAACACTGGCAGTAGAATGGGTCATGCTCTCAGCTGGTGGATGCCAGGAGATTGCTACCTACTTGAAAACGCAGTGCCAATAGTAAAGGTTGGAGGAAGAGGAATAAAGGTCTATGGCTGTTTTTCAGGGTTTTGGGCTTGGCACAAATTTGAGGCCCTTTCCTGTTCCAGCATGACTGTGCCCCTGTGTACAGAGACTAATTCATCACAAATTCCCACTGACACACTCTAAAATCTTGTGGAATGTCTTTCCAGAAGAGTAGAGGCTGTTATAGACATGTTTCTGTGCAATGTCTTCACAGAGATGCATGAGCAACTGGAGGCAGAAAGCAACAGAAAGCATCTTACATTACAGCATAAAGCAACAATGACAAGTTGTTGTTGTGCAGAGATGATGCAGTAATTTATTGAGGTAATGGCATGGTGAAAGCTACTTAGGCTTCCAATGTAATCTGTGCCAGTCCTTTCCTCAGTGTCCCAGACCTAACAAGCTTGTAAACTGCACTCGAACGGCCAACAAAGTCATACATACAATTGGTGAACACAGGATTCTAGATGATAAATGTTTTTACGAGATGTGACATATAATGTGACCTTTAACATGCAAAGAAAAAGCAGGGTTGTATTCTTCAGATCTCCATGTTGAACAAACAAACAAACAGAGTTTAGTTGTATTTACTAGTTAACCATCTAGTATATACAACCATCCGGTGAACATCTGAACACAGCATTAGCTTAGTGACACTAACAGTACCACCATGCTCCTGATCATGTCAAATAACAACTAAACCAGGTAAGTTGGATAAAATCTATAGGACATGTCAGCAAGCTGTAAAGGTTTTCAGGATTTGCTCCTATTTCCCATTTAGTGAATAGCTAACTTAGCGGGGTGTTCAGAGACTTGATGACAAGCCTGTACTGATAGTCAACTATTGTTAACTAATGTTTTACATGATGCTATATTAATATACAAATGAAAGACAGACAAACAGATCCAAGTCTGAAATGGCATTTTATTATTGAGTCAACAAGAATTTACAAACAATGCGCAATCTACGATGATTACAATAGTTGGCTAAATTACCAAAGTTGTTTTGCCCCTGGCTGCACATGCACCCAGTAATGTGTGTAAACAGGAAACCCATCTATAGCCACAGAGGAGGACAACTCCATTTTAATGGCCATAGTTTTGGAATGGGATGTCCAGGAAGCTCATACAGGTGTGATGGTCTGGTGTACACATACTCTTGGCCATATAGTGTATCTAATATCATCAACTATCAGCAAGGTGAACAGTAGCATTGGTGTGTTGTGTCTTCAAAGAGCTGTCTGAGTCAGGTTGTGGTTTATAAGTAGTTGTTGTCCTAGAGGCTGAGGACTAAAGGAGCCATTGAAGTACACAAGCTTTCCTCGAACTATGGTACCTTTAACCTCTCCACGCAGCGTAACGCCAAGATATGGAGTCAACTGAAAAGAAAGAGAGAAAGACAAGAGAGAGAAAGAATTAATGTTGTCTGCTCTCCGTGTGCTATAACAGAATAAATAAAAAAGTCACTCACTTTATTTTTGTGATGTATATTTTCCTTTTTCACCTGTAAAATGGCAGAGGTGAATATTACACACATTTGTTGATGTTAAACCAATCCACATAAAACTAATATTAGAAATAAGGTTTAAAGTGACCCTTGACACAATGCTAATCTAATAAGACATGTTGGTCTTTTCTTCTATCCTTAGAGGATTTTAAAGCACACTATCCTAGCTGTGTGAAATATAAAGCCCTCTTTTATTCACCACAAACTCTCTCTCCGGATCCCAGATGACTAAGTCTGCGTCGTGACCTGGCAGTAGACTGCCTTTCTGGTTGTCAAGGCGACACAGTTGTGCAGGTTTTTTACACAGGAGTCTTTCTACGTCAGGAAAGGAAAAACCTCTCTTACAGGCTGAGCTCCAGAACAGAGGAAGGCCTGGATGGAGAAATAATACAGATTTAAATCACAGAGAAAGAAATAGCATGTAAACACATCAATGAGCAGTTTTTTAAACATATGGCATAGCCATTCTTGTACAGTTGGACACTTAAACATCAAAACAACATTAAACGTTATATAAATAATATAATAATATAAAAACATTATATAAATAATTAGTCATACATTTTACACACATTCTAAGCCACCCATCCTTCTGGGTCGCAGGGGAGGTGGAACCTATACTAGCGGTCATTGGGCAGCATAGGCAGGATACACCCTGGACAGGTCACCAGTCCGTTGCAGGGCAGACAGACAGACATATACATTCACACTCACACCTAGGGGCAATTAGCCTGACTGCATAAATTTAGAGTTGGGACAAGTAGGTAAAAATTAAATAAAAACAGATAGCAGTGATTTATAAACCTACTTTGACCTGTATTCAAACAAAAACAGTACAAAGACAAGATATGTAATGTTTTATCTTATCATCTTTACTGTTTTTTTATAAACATATGCTTTTTCTATAATGAATGCCTGCAACATGTTCTAAAAAGTTGGGATGGGGCAATTTAAACCTAGGAACTCGGTGAAATGTTCATAAAACATCTTAATCCCTTAAAATCCCAGGATTATTACATACTAAGCCTAATTATTCAGTAACTAGTTAACAGTGTAAGCTGGCTGAGTTATTCTTAGGTTATAGATGTGTGTAATAAAACTTTAGGTCCACCTGTGGGCCCTGGCCATTTAAGGGGTTAAACAAGTAATACAGACATGCTTAGATATATAGGAAGCAGGAAAGGCCTAGATCTTTATGAGCAAAGATGGAAACATGTATTGTGGTCTGATGAGGCAAAGTTTTAGATTATTTATGGAAATAATGA